AGATGTACCAAAATACCGTCCCAATAAACATAGTGGAACCTCTTTCTCAAACAATGTTCAAAAACAAACATCCGATATTCCAATAGGACTCTGCACCAGCTCATAGGGTACGAAGCACGCAAAACTGGTTGACCGCCCATGGAACTGACTTTATCGGACATGAAGACTGTCCCTCTTCTAGTCCCGATTTAAACCCACTAGATTACAAGATATGGCAACATTTAGAGGAGAAAGTCTGCGCTAAGCCTCATCAGAATTTGGAATCTCTCCGAGCATCTTTGGCTAAAGCAGCGGCAGAAGTAGATATGAATGTGGTGCGTGCTGCGATTGATGATTGGCCGCGTCGATTAAGGACATGTATTGAAAATAGGGAAGGGCATTTTGAATTATGTAAATAAAATTTTATTCTAAATTAAGTTACCTTTCAGTTCATATATAGTTTCTATATAATTATCAAAAAGTTTATCATTAATTTTATAAACAGTTTTTGATAGAACTTATGACCTGACTAAGTATATAACTCTTCCTACTTTAAAACAATATTCCCACAATTATTTCTTTTGCGGCAGCATCGCACCGGGACCAGCTAGTTTCGTATAATTATCTATGTCAGAATAAACATGAGATATAGGTAGGTATATAAAACTAAGAGCTGTGCTAGTTTAAACTGACAAAAATATTTGACATGCTTACGGATTTTATTGTAAAAAACAAACTTGCTGGGAGCTCTTTTAATGCCAATAGGAATGTCCAGATTCAAATGGCCGTAAGGGCGAAATAGTGAGATAAGTTACAAGTACGTACGGTGCAAAAAATATATCACTCTTCATGCATGGGTATGCGCCACGCCTGCAAACGTCCCGCTCCGCACGCGGGTTCCAGACTGTAGATCCAGACTCCAGACATTTTACACTTATGATGTCCGTCCGTGAATATTTAACTCCTATCGTATACGAAATGGTTACGACGCCATTTATATAATTACCGATACATCCTATTAAAGTTCACTGCTGAATATAGGCCCATCTCATAGATTGCCTCATGTGGGGATTTTGCCATAGTTGCCACGCTTGACAAGTAGGTTGGCAACGGCATTTTTTTATTATTTAGAGTTGTTATCAGGAAGATGCTTCTGTCCATCTCCTGTGTCATTTTCCCTCTGTTACTTCATACGACACCCACGGGAGGATATGGGGTAGTGGATATTCTTACACCGTCACTACACGGTAATACTATATAGTAAAGTAAAGTAAAGTTGCAGCCTATTTACGTCCCACTGCTGGGCACAGGCCTCCTCTCATTTCTGAGAGGGTTTTAGGGCAAGGAAATGTCCGCCGCGCTGCCCCAGTGCGTGTTGGCGAACTTCACATGTCTTCGAAATATTTTTACTAATACTATATAATCAGAAGTAATTATTTCACTCATGATTATCATTATTACAGCCCATTTTTTTTATTTTTCTTTAAAAAACGTTGCCTTCACACTAAGATTTGCTTTTGTATCGTGGGGGCAGTTTACATACATAAATTTCACAAGGCCAAACATCCAGAACCGGAACAATTATTTGCAGGCCATACAAATACTTATTCCGTGCGAGATTCGAACTCGCGGTCCTTGGTGCTGCAACTCATTGCCAAGCTACTGCGCGACGGAGCTGTCGTCACAAGTCCACTGCTGAACACAGGCCTCCTCTAACGAATGTCACAAAGCAACGAATGTCCTCAGCCACCTGCATCCACCGACTTCCTGCATGTCTTACCAGGTAGTAACTCCATCTAGTAGGTGCTCGCCCTACACTTCGCTCACAGGTACGAGGCTGCCACTCGAGAACCTTTCTTCCCCATCTGTTGCTGATTCTTGGAACTATATGGCCGACCACTTCAGCTCACGTTGGGTTATATATGGTTCTAATAATTATATTATTAAATACTCATTTGTTTTAACCGTATATAAAATGTTTAATTACATAAATTTTTTTTTCGTAGCCTGATAAGGAACACTCGTGTAGCTTTGGACCAACTATATGATCAGTGCGTTATCGCTACAGCTGCCTATTATCGTACGTTAACTAATATTCGTCAGTGGAAACAGCTTAATTATCAATTTGAGATGGAATTCGATTTCCTCAGGAAGTAAGTTATTTTTAGATTTTGTCAAATTTTACAAAACATAGATGTGTATATGTATATATTTACGTGGTGGAGCGATGCGAATGGGATGGATTGACTGGGAAATGGCTCTGACAGAATACCCATTTTACTGGAAACGAGGCATTACATACATCGGTCATATCGGTCCATCATCATATCATCCATTTACCACCAGGGGAACTGTGTGCTCGCTTGTCACCCCCTATTAAAGATATACCCACCATAGGTGCACCAACTCAGATAGATTGCAAGGCAGTAAAGAAGTCATAACACATATAAAATATGCATGCACTTCGTTGGTGGTGAATTAGGAAAAATTCTAGGTTGTAGGTCTCCTTCTCTGCTCAGAATCTCTTCTGGATAGGTGCCTTCTCCTTACGTACTTGTGCCGCCAGTAACAGTGCCTGGACGCTGTGTCTGTGTCTGTGCTGAGGTCTTAAGAGTACAGATAGCCAGTGTACAATTAGCCACACGCTGTGAGGCATTCCGTCAGAGTTTTCACGAGTGCATTTTGATTCGTAATCGAAGATAGATGTATATGTCTATGGGCCACAGCAACCGCTTACTATCAGGTGGACTGTGTGCTCGTTTGTCACCCTATCCTATAAAACAGTAATCATCACAGTCACAGCAATCACATATATATACTAGCTCGCCAGGTAGACGTTGTTCTGCCGTTTCCAACAATCCTTCCTATAAAAATCCTTAAATTCGCAATAAAAATATTGAGGGTCATTTATCGGGATAAAAACTATCCTATCTCTCAAGTTGTATCAAAATGCACAGTGTGCAAAATTTCATTGAAATCAGTTCAATAGTTTAGGAGTCCATCGCGGACAAACAACGTGACACGTAATTTTTATATGTTAAGATATATATATATATATATATATATATATATATATTTATATATAAAGATATACACTGTTTTAGATTGGTAAAAAATCATTTCAGTATAAGATTTATAATTCGTTTGCAGCATGGATCAGGGCAGAGTAGATGCTGGAGATTTCAGCCCCAGAGTATACGGCATGCACAATATCCTAGTTACTTCAGGATATTTGAGCGAACTGGCAAATCTGCGCTTGTTAATGCAACACAATCCCCGCTTCTATGTGCAGGTCGTGTGGTCCAGCGTGTAAGTCTTCTGTTTACTCTCCTTTTGTGTAGCTCTACAACCTCTACTAAATTTTAATTAGTAGAATTGTATTTTAAAAAAAGATCAAAATTTATTTAATTGATGACACTCATGGCACAACGTTTTTTACGTGGTAGAGCTGCTATACTAGTAATAGTAGTATAGCTGCTGCACGAACGATCTCACAGAAAACCAGCGTAAAATAACACCTTAACACTGCTGTGTTTCGTATGGTGAGAGTAGAGAACCGGAGACCCATTTTACTGGAAACAAGTCATTCTTCAATCTTAGTCCTCAGGGGTGATAACGCATCTGCATTTTGATTCGTAATTGAGGATAGATGTAGATGTCTATGGGCCACAGCAACCTCTTACCATCACGTTGACTGTGTGCACGTTCGTCCGCCCTTATACTATAAAAAAAAACTCAATCCGAGCTTAGCGTGAGTGTCGCAGTTAAAATTTTGCCTCCTGTAAAGTAAGTAAAAACCACATGAATCTATCTTCATTTACAGACACGGTAATAATATTACCAAAAAATTAAAACATGATATTATTTAAAACTTATTAATAAATTTAAAAAAATATTTTTATATTTCCGCTTTCGGTCAGTCGAGAAACTTATTATTGACTATAATGAATACTTTACGTTTCTTTGAACGATGCTACCCGAAGAGCTCTTATCTCTACAAATGTTCCCCCAGTATTAGAGCATTGTGGAATATTTAGAGACAGTGGCAAGAGACATAACAGTCCCTTGTCTCAGAGGGCCGGGGCATCATCAGAGGTAGCTGAACTAAGCCAATAGCGCAAATATGAGTCCCTAAAAGATAAATACATATTTGTGCCCTTTACTGTGGATACTATCGGTCCGTTTGCCTACGTGCGGTGAAGTTCCTTAAGGAACTCTATCCGCGACTGATCATGATATTCATGATATTTTTAGTACAAAGCCAGTTTTAACATGTTACGTTTAAGCAAGCTTAAGGCATATAAAATGAGAGAAAGATAGAGATATAATTAAATTAAAACGTTGTTTACATCAGAGTTACATAGACCTGAACAAATAAACATAGCGTCGTATAGCATTCTAAACTGCAAACGTATAAGTTTCCAAAAAAAAATACGGAGGAAGCCGTCATATACGCAACCTTGCTAATAAAATATATTCAAAAAACTTCCCTTACATCTATGTGTATCGATACTGCGTATTGAGTAAAGGTCAACGTAATTTGTCTTCAAAACTTCATTTCACGTTCTCGGTTTCGTTATGATGATCGACGGATAAAAAAGAGTGAACAAAAAAAGACAAAATTGTTAAAACAGTTATTAAAATAGTCGAAGGAGTAATAAGAACGTATATAAAAACAAAGTCACAGACATTAAAATTTCTCAAATATTAGATTCATCTCTCATATAACACTTGTTTTTGGTTAATAAGGCATTATAGATATTTTTATTGACAACATTATTAAGTTATGCGCATAAGTTTCCAAACAATCAGCAATATTTTTGGTTTCATCAGTAACATCGTAGGAGCGCAAACATCATTTAACTTTCCTTAATCCGTTATGGTCGTGCACATTGTAGATCTTGATGATGGCGTCATTTAATGTTGTCAACTTCGCTTTGCAGCCCTTGTCGCATTTGTTACACACCCAGTGGATCTCCTGCTTCTGGTTGATGTGGCGGGATCTCTTTTTAAATCTGTATTCACCAAGGAGTATTATGGCGTTTCCAGCGTGCGGCCAGCTGTACTGCGGTACCAAGACTAGGTTTACCTTGTGCATCCCCAACAGCGCCACCTTCCCCGCCGCCAGACATATTGCCATCTCCAGTAGCCGAGCCATCAAATCCTGTCATTTCCATATTAGAGTCGTCTTCGCCAAAGTTTGTTTCATCATTATTTGCGCCTTCGTCATCGTCATCCCACATGCTTTCGTTAACAAATTCTGGTTCCATTTTCGGTGCCACGGCATTGTTTTCATCTTCGTCGGGTATCGTAACAAATTTTTCTTTAGCTGATCCTGAGGGTCCGGCTTCTAAGGGGTCTACACATTTTCGTTTCGCAGGTCCACTTTGAGTTGACGCTAATTCTTCTTTCTTAACATTAACTTCACCTTGATACATAAACTGTAATAAGTCTCTTAGCGCTGAATGACTAACATCTTTTAAAAATACTATGGGAATCTGAGTAGGGTTCATTTTGAACATTTCTTGAAAATAGGGAGAACATACTGATAATACTAATTACCTGCCTTCGACAGCCAACTTTACATCTACTAAATCTCCACGCGACAGCAGGCCATGAAAGCCTGCTGACATATTGGCGTGGAAATTGTTCCAACATAATGAAAATTGTTCGTCCGACGCCATGATGGCGGCGACTGCATTTGGAACCTATCCTAAATCTTTGTACTTTATAATTTCTATATTAGAAACATTTGAAATAATAATTATGTTTCTAACGGAGCACTACCACTCGCATCCCACGTCCTCCCCGTTTGAGCGCTGTTCACGTTATCTTTGTTGTGTCATCGTTGCTGGTACCAACAACGATGATCAGTCAGGCGCAGTACCAACGGCTTAACGTTCTTCCCAGGGCGGCAAGGTGTAACGAACACCGTCGAAATCCTGACTCCGGGCTACTAAGGATTTATTGACAGAAAAACTCAATGCCTGATTTTGGCCCGACTCGGGATTCGAACCCGGGACCTAATAATTATCGTGTCAACAATCACTAGACCAAGGAGGCAGTCATAATCCAATTATTTAATTTTTTTTTGTTTTTGTGCAGCGTGATAATAGATTGGCGTAAAGCGGCGCCTCTGCTGCGCAGCTGCTACTCCTTTACCGCTCATGACAACCGAGCTGTTCCTGCCCTGCAGGCGTGGATGCAGCTCCATCACTTCTGCTATATGGAATTCGTGCGTGCCATCGCGTAAGTTTGCTTCTTTGGCTATAGATTGAAAAATGCTAACGAGGCATTCCATCTTAATTCTCTGGGGTGGCAACGCATCTGCATTTTGGTTCTTAATCGAGGGTAGATGTAGATGTCTTTTCCACAGCATCCACTTACCAAAGATGGACTGTGCGCTCGCTTGTCACCCTTATTCTATAAAAATATATTCGTCGTTTCTTACATCGGCTTGTTTTTTTTTTTCATTAATAGGGTATTACACCCATTTTCAAAAGGTGTTTTATATGAATCCTAGAGTGATAATGAACCACTAAAATTTTTATAAAATTTTTTTAAAACCGAATAGTGACATAAAAATTACTTTTAATCTATCGATGTGAAAACGCTAGCCGCCATACTGTTCAACTCGTGACGTCACTGTCCTAGAATTTTGACAATTTTGCAAAGGAATAAGATACTTTTGAATGTTTAATAATGAATTATCATCTATATCATTGTTGTGTTGTACCTGATTGCAAAAATACGAGCATAAGAACGCCGAGGAAGTTATGGATTAAAGTGCTAACTGATTTAAATATGAGAAATACTTGGTTAAAACTGGCAAGAAGAGACCCGAAGGCATTGTCTACAAAATCTAAACTATACTTCTGTGAAGATCACTTTGATGTAAGTATGACTTTTTGATGAACTATGGATTAAACAAAACAAAACATCATGACATGATAGGTACCTATTGCAAATCAAATTTTGGAATAGGTTATGTTATTCGCTTGTTTGTCCCACCCTATGTGGGCCATTTTGACAGCCCTTGCAAGTGCAGTGCAGTGTTTTACTTAATTCCTGTTTTCTTCTATTATATGGGAATAAAGACATGGTTTGTACTCAGACCAAATAAAAAAGTGACTTTTTATTTCGTCTGAGGGTTTGTACAAAAAATATAACAAAAAGTTTTTCTCACCTAAGCTTATAATATAATATCTATAACATTAGTGCTAAAAGCGAAGTAATAAATTCGCTTTTACGAATCCGTCTTCCATGATGCCTTTTCAATAAAATTCGGAATAAAAGTCAACAATCTTAATGATAACTTGAAAAATTTCTAAATTAGCTAGTTAGTACACAGCACATAACCTAGTTCTTTGATCTAGTGACGTCACGACGCTATCTAATATGGTGGACATCGTTTTGCAGATTTGAGGCACACGTAAAAAAATATTCTTTAAATTGAAATATAAAATTTATAATGCATTTTTATAAATAGAAATCAATATTTCTCGTTTACTTTTTGCAAAATCTATCATAAATATATATATACTCTGATTTTTTTTACATGGTGTAAAATACCCTATTTAAGAAATCAAGGACAAATATTGAGAGCTACAGTAAAATTAAAATTCGAAGAGTGCGCGCAGGAATTGTATGACAATTCCTGCCCATCCTCTTCCACTTTCCAGTATAGCCACCATTGGAATTTTAAGTGCTAATGTAGAAGAAGAAAATGTTTATTTGTAGATTTTGTTTACTTATTTTCATTTTATAGAAAAAGGATGACATAGGAGCGCGCAATGCACCTGATAGCATTACATCTAAACGCATGGTTTGTCACAAGCCAGGACTAAGATGGAATGCCTCATATCCAGTAAAAAGGGTCTCCGGTTATCTACACACAACATACGAAAGACAGCTACATTAAGCGAATATTTTACGCTGGTATTCTTTGAGAGCGTGGTCCTACTTCGGTCGAGTCAGTGGCGGCGTAGCGTGGGTTGGCACCCAGGGTTGTTTTCTATTAAGCACCCCCCTAAATAAAACAAAAAATGCTAAACAAGCTCACCGGACTTTATTTCGCTTAATTATTCTATTCATCATCGTGATGAGTGGTGTACTCGCCATTGACGTTACTACCGTATCCTTTCCAGTCCAGTAGCTTGAGAAGGTCATCCAATGCAGCGGTGAAGATTTTCGGGGATATTACGTTATACGTGGTAGAGTCATGCTGCAGCTATATTAGTAGTATAGTTGTAGCACGAATGGGTCGGCTCGACCGGGGAAGAACCACGCCCTCACAGAATGCCAGCGTAAAATAGCAGTTTAATGCTGCTGTGTTTCGTATGCTGAGTGTAGAGAACCTGAGACCCTTTTTACTGCAAAAGGGGCATTCCATCTTAGTCCTTACGGGTGACAACGCATCTGCATTTTGATTATTTATTGATGATAAACGTAGATGTCTATGGGTCACAGCTACCTACCACTTACCATCAGGTGGACTGTGTGCTCGTTTGTCACTCTATCGTATAAAAAAAAAACCTGCACTCTCTGCAATTGGATAGGTTTCGTACTCTGGTTCTGTATTCGGAAAGCCGTCGCTGCCCTACTGTGAAAACACTTCAGCACTTTCATATACCGACAGTAAACTTGGCACCGCTGAAGGGACTGAAACTCCGCCCAAATGTCGACGGAATCAAAGGCTTTGCCATAGTCCACATACGCAAGACAAAGTGGCAGATTGTACGATTTCCCGATGGTTATATATATGGTCCATAGTGCTAAAGCCTAATCGGGAGGCTGGAAGTTGTCGGTCCTGCGTGCGAGCCGATCGGATATGGCTTAAGTGCATATAGACTTACATTTCAAACTTATCTCAACAAAATAAATTCTATATAGATAAGACTCTTAAAGATATTAGTTGATCCTAAAACCAAAATTGCTCTAGATAAAAATTATGAAATGTTATTTAAAATTTGCAACATTCTTCCCACAGACAAGAAAGTAACATCCGACATCATATTAGAACGGCATAGTAACATTTAAGAAACCTAAGAAATATATAATTCCGAAGCGCCAAGTTACACAAAAGAGGAAATATCTGATACCTAGGGTTGAAAATTACTTTGGAGGACGTACAAGGCAATGGATAACTCCGACTTTGTGTAATGAGGTGGCGGATATTTATGACGAAGGTGTAACTTAGTCGCAGCTCAAAACCATCTTGAGGAAGAGAGTATCATTCCTGTCGTTGTGTCCATAGTAGTGAATGTTTCTTTGATGATTTATATTTAATTTAAGTATTTATAAGTAACTGACATTGTTATTAAGGAGTGTGAAACGATAAACTGATGCGTTGCCGACAAACTTGCTACTGTTTGGCAAAATTTAAAATGTAAATAATGTAACACTCTTTCTAAGAATAAATTAAAAGAAAGATTGTACGATTTCCCGATGGGTATATGGTCCATAGTGCTAAAGCCTATTCGGAAACTGGCTTATTCGGGAGGCTGGAAGTTGTCGAGTCTGCGTGCGAGCCGATTCGTAATGACTTTCGAAAACAGCACGTAGACGCGGCTCATAAAGAAAATCTTTCTGCAGTTCTGCAAGAGAACAAAATCACTTTTCTTGAAGAACAAGACCACCACACTTCTGCTTCACGCCTCCGAAGTAGTGCCATCATGGAGGATGGAATAAAAGAGCTTCTGAAGGACTTCAAGTACTTTTCTACTCGCTTTCAGAAACTTAATCTCATTCTCGCCCGAGGACTTGCCGTTTTTAAGGTGTAGGAAAGTCATTTTAATTTCGCTCAGAATAACGTCCGGGATGTCATCCAAATATTGTCGGATAAAACTTTGTCTTGGATAGTTGTTCACATTTGTGTGTGTCTCCAACCATGACATGTACTGCTCGTAAAATCTTTCAATCTCAATCAAAATCTCACATGCTGCTACATTTGGTCTTCAACCTGGCTCTTTCAGGCAGACAGATCTCTTGCAATGTCTTTGGCGGAACCAGTCGCCCCTCGCTTCTTCAATATGAGTTGTATAGACGTTGCGTAAGTATATCCTCATGCATTTGGAAATCTGTATGTTCAGTTGCTTGCATGCTGTCAAATGTACTGAAGACTGCAGTTTCATTTCCTTTCTAAAAGCCTTGAGATGAGATTGAGAGTGATAGTGGATAGTTTTTGTATACTTCTGCGACGGGTCTTGCAAAACTTAGCTCCGACCGCATGGTCAGTTTCCACGAGCTTGTCATTCATACCATCCTCTGTATTTTTTTTATAGGAGAGGGGGCATACGAGCATGCGACTCACCTGATGGTAAGTGACTACCGCCGCCCATGAACAATTGCAACACCAGGGGAAGTGCAGATGCATTGCCGGTCTTTTAAAAAGGAGTAGGTCTTTTTTCTTGAAGGTCCCTAAGTCGTATCAGTCCGGAAAAATCGCTGGTGGTAATCGATTCCACAAGGAAGTTGTGCGAGGAAGAAAACATCTTTTTTAACGGTGGTAGAG